TTGAAATGATAAATCTATTTAAGAGATGTATACATATATATATATATCTGATTGGAATTTAATACAAAAGAATCAATTTTTAGTTAATAGAAATTTATGTGAAATAAAAGAAGATGAGATTTTGCATATGTAACATATAAAATAAATAATTAGAATTCTATATTGAATTGGATTGCTCAACCTAATAACTAATTATCTACAGCAGAGCAGTTTATTTTGGGTTAATAAATTTTCTACGAAATATTTATTACTCAATATGTTATTTCATTACATTGATAAAAATTCATTTAATAATGAAGAAAACAATTGATGTGTGAATTTTCATTTCAATTATGATATAATTAGGAAATTATTTGATAAAATATAAGGAAAACGTGTAAATATATGTGCATATTATAAGATCTAATCATAATTTGAATAAAATTAAGTCTCATATAGGCATATACTATGAATATTTGTTTCTATTTTTTTTAATTCCTCAAGGATAAAATTACTCTAAAAAAGAAAAACAAGAAGATAATTCAATTTACATACTTTTTCTTTTATCTATCTTAATATTTCGAAGAATTTTAATTAAAAAAGAAGGTTATTTGTGAAACATACCTCTTGGAAAAACCAGAGCTAATTGAAAAATTTTTATTTTAGTGAGAATGGTAATTAGCGCAAGCTTTAAAGCTAAAGTTTTGTTTTGAGATTGAAAAGTGCAATTTATTCAAGCAAGAAGAATATTCTAAGATTTAAAAAAGATATTCATCTTAAAATTGTTTCAATCTGGCTGATATTCAAGTAGGGAAGAGTTTCTAGCTGAGTTCTTTCATGTTTATCTAGAAAATATCAGAACCAGTGATTTTAATCATAGAATTTACATGGATAGATTTACAACAATGAGTAATATGCTTAAGGAAATATCCATAGTACGAAACAAACGTATAAAAAAGCAGATTTTTAGCAATTTTTGTGTATGTTGATATTCCGGATCAATATTGACTAGATTAGCAGTGCTATTAATTATGTAATAGGTTTTTTTTCATAAAAAAGAATCAGAAAGCACGTTTTTTGATAAAAAAATGATGTATGACATGCATATTTGTTTTTCGGTCTTCAAGTATTTCTTAACTTGTTACTTCGTCGAAAAACTGATTAAATGAAAAGTAATAAACAAAGACATAAAAGGTTGTCTACACATTATTTTATCTTTCTTATCTACTTTTTTTATAACTTGTTTCGGTTTGAAGCAACAAGTAACCAACATCATTTAACAATTTCACTTTTCAACGTATACACTCTATTTTCATGAGCAGAAATCATAATAAAATTAATTTAGGTTCTAATTCTCGCAAGACTAATGGACCAGAAGAGACCAATACAGTTCTTCAATCATCAACTGTCTTAAATGAAAATTCCCAATTGCAAATATCATTATCTGATGCGATAAATCAGATCAAGAAACAACAAAAGGCTTTCATACGAGATTTACGCAACGATAATACAGAAAAGATATTGTTGATTCAAATAAATAAATGGGAAAAAGAATCCATTACACATATTAAGTCAGAAGCTGCAAAAACTAAAAGTCGACTAGAACAAATAATGCAAAACATAAATACGAAATTAAAACATCGTACTGATAAACTATCTCAGGAACTTGATTTGATCTCAAGGCCTGGTAAATATACGGAATCTGATATTGACCGATGCAAAACATTACTAGAAAAGAGTCAATTAGAATTGAGAAAAATATGTGCAATCAAAATTAATACGACAAGTATGTCATCGTTGCAGCCAATTGAAATTGATGAGGGAACTGTTAATTCATCATCAGAAAACACAGCTTCCACAAACGACAATCCGATGGAAATAGACTTTGATAATCGTAACAGAGAATTACCGGTGCCACTAGAAACAACCATACAATTTCAAAAATATTCGTATCCGAGTGTTCTTATCAATGGCACTAAGCCCGGCACTGCTGAAATACATCAATTATTCGAGAAACTCAGGTGTCTGAATCCAATGAATAAAAATGGACCAATGAGTGGTGATTGTGATGCCGAAACTACACAGATGGAACGATTTCTCTATCAAACATTCGATTTTAAAAACCAACATAAATATATCGTTCAAGGTGTCAAATCCTTCCGACTAGGCAAACCATTAAAAAACCTAGATCCACAAGATATAATTTATTTTCCGAACACGACAGAAAAATCTTTTGCCATGACCGTTCAAGAAATTATCGACTGGCAACATTCATATAAAGTCTATGCAGACCAAAATGTTAGAGGCATGAACAACGACTTTCTTTCCAAAGCTCTCGAAGGACTAAGTGAGTCTGGTAAAGAAGCGTTTCGTATGAAATTTGTTGTTCGCATTTCACAATGTCCTATTTTGATGGAATTTGATGCTTGTCTTATTACTCGAGAACTTAAAGATCAGTGGCCTTCTCGAATCAAGCTTGTCTCAGTTGCAGGAATTAATTTTGGTGGTCAAATACATGATGTTAATGATATTATGACCTATGTTTCTAATTGGAAAGATGTTTATGAAATCGATTCAAAATCTGCTTTACCTTTCGTCTATAATGGAAGAGATTTTCACAGAAAACATGGAGCTCCTCGAGCTGAACTTGATGAAGATCGTCTTCTCACAGACTTAATACGAATGGCAAGACTTCGATTATATGCATGTGACAAAGAAAAAGTACAAATTGTAGTTGAGACTGGTATCGGACTTGGTGTATTTGCTGGAAAAAGTATTGGAATCGATGGAATAGTACGAGCACTCTCCGCAAAAGCTATTCGAACAGTACTTGAACAAGAAGGACCAAACTATAAATATATTCGTGGAATTGTGTTTGCTTTACCTATATTTGATAGTGATATACGAAATGGTCGACGAAACGATGTTTATCAAGCATTTGTTGATGAATTTGATCAGAGCAAATATAATGGTTGTATTCCTGTATTGATCACTGATCAAGACATGCACCGATTAGCTATTGCTATTGCACGTGAAGATTTTAGTGTTTCTGAACTGAATCCGGCTGATTCACATGGTGTATTTGGTGAATATTGGCAAAATCGTGGACCAGCTGTAGAAGAACAGCTAGCTTTAACTACATTAGGTCTACTTGTTCAACATCATCTCATTAATCCATATGTTCTTGATCTAAATCATTACCATCTTATACAATTATAAACATATATATCCATCTTCTATTTAATTATTACTGGTAATAATAGTGATATAATCAATAATAAAACTTTTAAAATTTATTGTATTATCAGTTTTGCTATAATAGACATATTGTTGCACTGTACTTGATAATACATACATATGATACGTATAAACAATGAGTAAATCGCAACTTTTTTGTTACAAATGAAGTTTTGACTATAATAAAAGAAGAAAAAAAGAACGTAAATAGTCCATCTTGGTACAGCGTTCGACGCTGTATCAAAATATGCAACTGATTTAAATGTTACTCTTTTCTTATTCCCTCGTCAAGCGTTCTCATTGTTTTACAGACACTTGTGTATTTTTTGTATAGAGTTACGTAAACTCAATCTTAGTTTTGTCTGTAATAGAGATGGTGGTGCGCAAATGATATGAAAAGAGAAAGAGAGAGATAACTGTTGTAGTAACAAAGTGACAAGAAACAGTTTTTTCTTATCCGCTTTGTTTCGGTGTACGAAAAACAGTACTTCCGAAAAAAAAAGATTCATATATTCACTTCGTAGAGTTATATTTTGGCAATCGTCTGCTTTATAAATTTTCAATGGATCATTCGATATGGCTTCAGGGTTGCCAGACCTCCTGATTTTTGAACTTTTTTCCTGACAATATTTCTCCTGATTTCTCTTGATTTTGAATTCTTTTCTTAAACCCCTTCCTATAAAAGAAGCCCCTTTCATATTAAGAGATCCCTCTGAAATGAGCAATGTGTTTGACGTAATAGAAGTCCTCTGATTTATCTAAATACACTTTTACATTTTAATTTTTTTCCGAATTTTCGTGCTAAAACTACTAAATTTCTCGAATTTAAGGTAAAAATTCCACTCTTTCCAATCTAGCTGTGCTAAAATCTGAAAGTATCGTTAAAAGTATTCTGAAAAACTCATAAAAACCCTGAAAATCTGTAGAAATCTTTCGAATCGTTTTTATTATTTTTGAAAAAATACAAGCTCTGATTTACTAAGCCCGATTTCATACTGTGTACTTATACGAGATTTCTATATTTTTTGTAAAATGAAATATTTCGAAGATTTCGAGTATTTTTCGAGTATTTGAATCGTCTTCCGCTTTTGTTTCGAAGAATATTGATTTTTTGCGGCATAATATGGATCAGTACCGAGAAAATTCTAGTGAAACAAACAACAAAACAGCGAAAAAATCTCGAATTCTTTTGAAAAACAACTTTTATAGAAAAAGGATCAAAATATATGAGATGCACTCGTGGCCAAAA